AACAATAATAACCAACGTAATACGTACTTAACGTAATATTCAACATAATATTCAGCGTAATCATAAACACATGACATTTGAAATATTACCCCACACATTAAATACAGAATGGCACAGTCCACCAATTTACTATCTCTGTATTTTTTACAGTCATAGGCGGGAAATGAAAGTCCATTATACATATTTGACATTATATACATTATATACATCATATATTATATATTCTATATTCTATATTCTATATTCTATATTGAACATTCTACAGTTTATATTATACGTATTAAAGATTGACATCAGCATATATTAACTATATATAAAAATAAATATAAATATAAAACGTATATTTTAAATTTAGTAATATCGATACGTAGGCTTAATACGTACGTCTATATCGATATATCGATATGTATATATACCGGTATAGCCCGTACGTCCCGAATGACCAAACGTGAGTAAGTCACGGTTTTGCAACTAAAGACAATAAAGTAATGGGTAACATCAATAAAGTAATAGGTAACATTCCAATTCCAAATTCAGGTTGTTCACCATAAAAGTTCTTTTTTCTATTTGTTATGAAATATTTTGACCTTAGTGTTAGGAATTTAACCTTTTTTATATCTGATATTTATTTTCTAACAATATGAAAAGCCTTAATTCCATGTGAAATTTAATCCATCTTTGGATTGGTGAATAAACAAAATATGATTCATTCATTATATAATCTTTTTATTAATACTCTATTAATGTTATGTAATATTTCATTACCTTGTCGTAGAATATTAGCATTTATAATATATTTAGTTTAAATATTTAGTTTAAAGTTAATACATTACGTACGTATTAAATTTATGGTTTTACTTATTGTTTTACATATCAAAGACGTGTACGTAGAAAGGTACGTAGAAACATGTTTCAATAATAAATTCTATAATTAGTAAATTAGTAAATTAGTATGTAAATTAGTATATAAATTGATAAATTAGTAAATTAATATGTAAATTATATAGAATATAAATTGATAAATTAATAAATTAGCAGTTACGTAGTAAATTTAAGTATAACGAATGATCTTTTTTTCCTTGTTTCTTTTTTTTGTTGATACATTTATTTTTTTACTGTATACATTTACATGAAAAGTTATATAAAATGTTTAACATTAATAATAACATAATAACAACATAATAATAACATAATAATAACATATAAGAACATATAATAACATAATAATAGCATAATAATAACATAATAATAACATAATAACAGAATAACAACATTTAATACTAGCTAATACTAGTTAATAATTAAAAAATGGTTAACATTAATATATAATAAAAAGAATAAAATAAACTATATAGACTAGTATATATTTAACCTACTCCGGAAAATGCAATTATTGCACCGATACATCTCTTAACTGTTGTCGGAAATTCCATTAATACAGTAATACGCATTACATAATGTAAATCATCTGCCCGTTTCTGCCTTCCGAAATAATTTTTGCTAATCAATATCCGGAATAGTTTCCCGTAAATACCTATGCTTATTAGAG